TATGCAACCCAAACATTTTGAGTATGTGCTCACTGACAGAACTATATTCCTCCATCTTACAACTGAAGAAGTTGTTGGAGACTTCATATCTCTCGACCCGGGCATGAGCTTGGAAAACCATTTTCAGCTCTTCGAACATCTCATATGCTCCGTGTTGCTCAAAACGCTTTTGGAGCCCCGGTTCTAAGCTGTAAAGCATGCTGCACTGAACGAGGGAGTAATCATCAGCACGAGACTGCCAAGTGTTCATAACGTCTTGGTTCTCTAGGATGGGAACTTCACCTAGCGGTGCTTCTAAGACATAATCTTTCTTTGCAGCTATGAGGATGATCCTCAGGTTCCGGACTCAGTCCATATAGTTGCTGCCATCATCTTTCAGCTTGGTTTTCTCTAGGAACGCGTTGAAGTTGAGGTGGACATGAGCGTTGGCCATTTGATCTACAAGACATTTTTGCAAAGGTTTTTAGACTAAGTTCATGATAATTAAGTTCATCTAATCAAATTATTTAATGAACTCCCACTCAGATTAGACATCCCTCTAGTCATCTAAGTGATACATGATCCGAGTCGACTAGGCCGTGTCCGATCATCACGTGAGATGGACTAGTCATCATCGGTGAACATCTCCATGTTGATCGTATCTTCCATACGACTCATGTTCGACCTTTCGGTCTCTTGTGTTCTGAGTCCATGTCCGTACATGCTAGGCTCGTCAAGTTAACCTAAGTGTTTATGCATGTGTAAATCTGTCTTACACCCGTTGTATGTGAACGTTAGAATCTATCACACCTGATCATCATGTGGTGCTTCGAAACAACGAACTTTCGCAACGGCGCACAGTTAGGGGGAACACTTTCTTGAAATTATTATGAGGGATCATCTTATTTACTACTGTCGTTCTAAGTAAACAAGATGCAAAAACATGATAAACATCACATGCAATCAAATAGTGACATGATATGGCCAATATCATATAGCTCATTTGATCTCCATCTTCGGGGCTCCATGATAATCTTCATCACCGGCATGACACCATGATCTCCATCATCATGTCTCCATGAAGTTGCTCGCCAACTATAACTTCTACTACTATGGCTAACGGTTTAGCAATAAAGTAAAGTAATTACATGGCGTTAAATCATTGACACGCAGGTCATACAATAATTAAGACATCTCCTATGGCTCCTGCCGGTTGTCATACTCATCAACATGCAAGTCGTGATTCCTATTACAAGAACATGATCTCATACATCACATATATATCATTCATCACAACTTTTGGCCATATCACATCACAAGGCATATGCTGCAAAAACAAGTTAGACGTCCTGTATTTGTTGTTGCATGTTTTACGTGGCTGCAATAGGGTTCTAGCAAGAACGTTTTCTTACCTACGTAAAAGCCACAACGTGATTTGCCAACTTCTATTTACCCTTCATAAGGACCCTTTTCATCGAATCCGCTCCAACTAAAGTGGGAGAGACAGACACCCGCTAGCCACCTTATGCAACTAGTGCATGTCAGTCGGTGGAACCTGTCTCAAGTAAGCGTACGTGTAAGGTCGGTCCGGGCCGCTTCATCCCACGATACCGCTGAAGAAAAATAAGACTAGTAGTGGCAAGAAAGTTGACAACATCTACGCCCACAACAAATTTGTGTTCTACTCGTGCAAAGAGAACTACGCATAGACCTAGCTCATGATGCCACTGTTGGGGAACGTTGCAGAAAATAAAAATTTTCTACGCTTCACCAAGATCAATCTATGAGTTCATCTAGCAATGAGAGAGAGGAGTGCATCTACATACCCTTGTAGATCGCGAGCGGAAGCGTTCAAGAGAACGGGGTTGAGGGAGTCGTACTCGTCGTGATCCAAATCACCGATTATCCATGTGCTGAACGGACAACACCTCCGTGTTCAACACATGTACGGTTGGGAAGACGTCTCCTCCTTCTTGATCCAGCAAGGGGGAAGGAGAGGTTGATGAAGATCCAGCAGCACGACGGCGTGGTGGTGGATGAAGCAGTGATCTCGGTAGGGCTTCAACAAGCTTCAGCGAGAGGGAGAGGTGTAGCAGAGGGAGAGGGAGGCGCCAAGAGCATGGGTGCGTCTGGCCTCCCTCCCCCCTCTTTATATAGGCCCCCTAGGGGGGGTGCGCTGGCCCTAGGAGATCCAATCTCCAGGGGGGTGGCGGCCAAGGGGGGTGGCTTGCCCCCCAAGCCAAGTGGAGGCGCCCCCACCCCTACGGTTTCCAGCCCTAGGCATAGGGGGGCCCAAGGGGGGTGCACCAGCCCACCAGGGGCTGGTTCCCCTCCCACTTCAGCCCATGGGGCCCTCCGGGATAGGTGGCCCCACCCGGTGGACCCCCGGGACCCTTCCGGTGGTCCCGGTACAATACCGGTGACCCCTGAAACTTTCCCGATGGCCGAAACCTGACTTCCTATATATAATTCTTTACCTCCAGACCATTCCGGAACTCCTCGTGATGTCCAGGATCTCATCCGGGACTCCGAACAACTTTCGGGTTATTGCATACTCATATCTCTACAACCCTAGCGTCACCAAACCTTAAGTGTGTAGACCCTACGGGTTCGGGAGACATGCAGACATGACCGAGACGCCTCTCCGGTCAATAACCAACAGCGGGATCTGGATACCCATGTTGGCTCCCACATGCTCCTCGATGATCTCATCGGATGAACCACGATGTCGAGGATTCAAGTAACCCCGTATACAATTCCCTTTGTCAATCAGTACGTTACTTGCCCGAGATTCGATCGTTGGTATCCCAATACCTCGTTTAATCTCGTTACCGGCAAGTCACTTTACTCGTACCTTAATGCATGATCCCCTGACCAGACACTTGGTCACATTGAGCTCATTATGATGATGCATTATCGAGTGGGCCCAGAGATACCTCTCCGTCATACGGAGTGACAAATCCCAGTCTCGATTCATGCCAACCCAACAGACACTTTGGGAGATACCCGTAGTGTACCTTTATAGTCACCCAGTTACGCTGTGACGTTTCGCACACCCAAAGCACTCCTACGGTATCCGGGAGTTGCACAATCTCATGGTCTAAGGAAATGATACTTGACATTTGGAAAAGCTCTAGCAAAACGAACTACACGATCTTTGTGCTACGCTTAGGATTGGGTCTTGTCCATCACATCATTCTCCTAATGATATGATCCCGTTATCAATGACATCCAATGTCCATAGTCAGGAAACCATGACTATCTGTTGATCAACGAGCTAGTCAACTAGAGGCTCACTAGGGACATGTTGTGGTCTATGTATTCACACGTGTATTACGATTTCCGGACAACACAATTATAGCATGAATAACAGACAATTATCATGAACAAAGAAATATAATAATAACCATTTTATTATTGCCTCTAGGGCATATTTCCAACAAAGTGGACATATGAAAGGTTTAAGTACAGACAACATGTAATGCTTACTTTGTTACAAAAAAAATTATAGATCATGGTAACTACAACTTATCTGCTTGACAACTAGAAGTTAAACTAATTCTAGCATGCTTTGCCAGTTACTTTGGAAGTTAAAGAAAGTACTGAAATTCTTTGTCTTTTCAGATCAAACATAGTTCAAAACCTTAATTTTCCCTTGCGAAAATCATACAGACACAGGTATCAAATATTAGTATCCGTCACTGAACTTCAATGATATGTTTATCCAGATGAACACCCAAGATGGCAGAAACTAATTCAGGTACATATTATGTTTCCAGTTGAAAGTAACTTGCTCCCAAAAGCTAGCGGATTATGTGCAGCTTTTCATACAAAAAAGAATACTAGGGGCAAGTAATTAAGAAGCTATAGTCTCTGCACAAATCCAGACCATGAATTCAGAGTATGGATGTACATGATACCAACTATTTGGTGCCTATATTCACAATCACACCAACCAAGGCAATAAATTAATCACTCAGTTTTTGCCAAACTAAAGAAGAGCTAGCTCAGAGATAGAAGGAAGAAACACTACCTAACTGCTAGTGAACCTTCTGGTGGTGCTTGGCACAAAGAATTACCCATAGGACCAACACACAATAATGAACTAAAAATCTTAAGTTGCCATCCACAATAAACACATAATTTATGGCCATCATGCAGAGCAGGATAATACACCTAAGTTTACTAGCGGCAAGGTAAAAGAGCGGCAAGTGCTTCTCTATTTTCTCAATAACATTACTAGCATAAGAATGGACAGACACACCTAAGTTTACTTACTTAAACCTAAATGATGCCAAACCTCCTCCATATGAGAGTTTGATGTTTAGTTAAGTGTGCATCTCTCTTTAGCAGATAACCAGATGCGAGCCCTGTAAATTTCGTCCTGCAGGCCAGTAGGTATTTCCAATATGACCGATGGCTCCCAATCGTTGCCTCTGATCCAATTAAAGTAGAACTCACTTGCATACACCTTCGTAATTGAATGGTTAAGTCTATCTTTAGTTTGTCAGTTAAAGCAAAAACAGATCTCTATGAGTTTGTATATGGGCAAACCAAAATGATTTTTATATCAAACCATAATTGAAAAATAGATTAAGGTAAATCCGCTATTTACCTAGATTTGGGAAGGGCATCAGATTTATCCCAAATTATCCACTATGAATTGCAAAAACAGTAATAGAACATTAGGAATGCATTACCCACAAATGAAGGAGACCTTACCTTGGCTCATTATCACAATGCACAGGCAACTAACTTGAAAACTGAAATTTTGGTGCATTTCAGAATGGCCTGATCTCACACTTACTTAGTACAAATGCATGTGTTTAAAACATGAATGAGGATGAAAAAAATTCATAACCAATCCATGGTTTCTTCTCTGCTGATTGGTGACATTACATATTAGTATCCAGGGATCAAATTATCAGCTTCATCACTCGTTAACAACCACCAACCCAGCATCTAACAGACATACATCAGCGGACAACCGGCACACAGTTACATCAGATCCTGTTCTTGGCTTATGTGAATCTGAAATTAGTGAGCACTTCCCCTTTGCAAGCAGCATCGTAGTCTTTTTCAAGGTGCGGTGCAACTTCCTTATGAGGGTGTATGAACTTCTTCTTGAATGTCATGTCGGACTCCTTGAAAACAGTATAGTAGCTTGAGTCGCGCTTGAGCAATCCATTTTCCTTGAGAAACTTCACAGCATAGTACCGGGGCCTGAGCCGGCCCTCTAGGCTATGCCCTAGTATTACCGACCATTGAACAATGTGCACCGGTTCCAAGCCCGCCTCGGAGATGAGGAACTCAGACCTATGCTGCAGCGATTCCTTGGACTTATTCAGCAGCGGTGGAAACTTAGAAATGGCCATGCCTACCTCACCATCCATCCACATGAATGTGTTCCTCAAGTACTCCACTCTGGTTGCTATCTCCTCCTCTCCGCAAGATGCAACAGCACGCATCGCGTGCCTAAACATCCTTGAACCACGTAGCACACCTATGTTTTGAGCGCATGCCACAATCGCCTGGACACGCTTGGGGTTAGTGTCGAGCAACCTCGGTGTTGAGATGCACAACTTGGCAATATCACAAGCACCTAGCCCGCACCCTTGCAGTAACGCCAAAATTGGGCTTGACCACCCTCTCGAGGTTGTATGAGAGGACATTGCAAAACTTCATCACTCGGAGGAGGTTGTGGGAGGTGCCGAAGAGGTGCAGGTAGTATTGCAGACTGGAGACGATGGGTCTACTATGGAATTGGCGGCCGCTGAGTGAGGCTAGGCGCGCGATCTCAGAGTGCAACAGACGAGAGCGGTGAGCTCGACGACAACGAGCGGCAGGGTCCTCTCAATGCTAGCGCAGAGGAACTGCGGGTCCTTGGCGACAAGGGCGGCGGCGTCGATGGTGGAGAGACCCAGGCCGGCGAGGAATGAGAGGACGACATCAGAATTATCTGGGGATTTGAGGTGGGAGATTTTGCGGGAGGCCTTGAGGGCCTGTGCCCGGATGAGGCCGCAGGTGAAGACGAGGTAGTCCTCCACTGCGAAGCTAGGGTTCGAGGAGACGGCGGGCGCGGCGGCGGAGATGAGGCTACTCAGGTGGGAGATGGGGGAGGCGGAGGGAGATGAGAGGATCTGGGAGAGGAGGTCGCGTCGGAGCCGGAGCATGGCGGCGTGGTGGAGAGTGGAGCCTGGCAAGCACGGCGGCGGAGAGGGAATGGGGGAAAGAGCGATGGGAGTGAAAAGATGAAGTGCGATGCGATGGTTCAACCCAACCCAAAGTGGCCCCACTCGTCAGTTGTCATGTCATGCTGCCAACAAAAATGGACTACTCCAATCGAAACTCCTACTCCAATACACTTTCATGCAATTCCCAAAGCAAAGAACTGCTTTAACGAGCAAAATATACTACTCAAATTTTTTCTTCTTCAGTCGTTCCTAAATATAAGTCTTTGAAAATATTTTACTATGGACCACATACAGAGCAAAATGAGTGAATTTACACTCTAAATGCATGATTCATAGTGGAATCTCTACAAAGACTTATATTTAGGAACGGAGGGAGTAGTATATAAAACCACAAAAAATAGCAAAATATTTAATGAGCGAAAGTCTGCTTACGCATTTTTATGCAGCAGCTACGACCGGCCAGTTTGATGTGTTGTCTTCACATCGAAAGCATCATCTATCGCCATGGTTGATACGGCGGTATGGTTGCACCTTGGCTGGATAACGTCGCAGTGAGTGTCAACTCTCCCCAATAGTGCTAACGTAAGCATCTCCTCCGGATCATAGCTGCTGATTCAATCATTTATCCTCGTGAACCGTGATTCAGTCGCATGTACCTTGTTGTCCGGGACATGTCGATCCTTCATCCTTTAGTCTATAAACATTAGGCTTGATTCTGATTGATAATGCATCTCTAATTATATTGCTCATGTGTGCTATTTTTCACAACTAAGGGTGACAGGATGCAACAAATATTACTTAAAATATCCTGTATAAAGAAATCGTCATTGCACTCTAATGTCAAAAGGTTCTATCTTTTTACTAGAGTATTTTCAGCCATTTTTTGCTGTTTGTGAACAGAAAGTTATATGCATTACATGTGACATTATTGCTTTTTCGACTGGCCTGTCAACACTAAGCCTAATAGAGTGGACCTTTGTATAATGGTTACTCTTTTATGTTTTATACTTCACTTTCTCTTCTGGTTTTCCATCTTCTGTAGCTTGCTTCATTCACTGATTCGAATTTCCATCTGTTGTAGGATGGGGTATTGTCACGCCCAATATGCGATCCTATCCACGAGGAACTCGAAGGTCCCATCAAGGATAGATCCGCATATTGAAATGCTTTGCAAGGTGGATATCATTACATCGTACCAATTACATAATAGAGGGGATACATACAAAGGCATACAAATGCCACATGAATATATCAAACATCATACAGAAGAGCAGCATCCGACTACGGATGAAATCAAATAAAAAAAACACAAATGACATCCACCCTGCTAGCTCAGGATGCCGACCAGATTGAAGGAGAAGAAGCAGAAGAAGAACTCCAAAACAAGCAAGCATCGCTCTCACGTCATATCATTGCAATACCTGTACCTGCAACTGTTGTTGTAGTAATTTGTGAGCCACGAGGACTCAGCAATCCCATTACCATGGGTATCAAGACTAGCAAAGCTAAATGGGTATGGAATGGTTAAGTGGTGAGGTTGCAGCAATGCTAAGCATTGTATGGTGGCTAACTTACGAGTACAAGAATAAGAAGAGAAACTACGCATAACGGTCGCAAACTAGTAATGATCAAGAAGTGATCCTTAACTACTTACGAGTCAAACATAACCCCACCATGTTCTTTTCTCGAACTCCCTTGAAAAGATACAGTCACAGTTACACACACAGTTGGAGTATTTTTAATTCAGATTTGGTGTCAAGTTCTCTACAACCGGATATTATAAATTTCCAATCTGCCGCATAACCGCGGGCACGGCTTTCGAAAGTTTAAACCCTGCAGGGGTGTCCCAACTTAGTCCATTATAAACTCTCACGATCCACGGAGGAAAATTTCCATCTCGGGACAACCCAATCAAACTCGGAATCTCGGTGCACAAGACATTTCGACAATGGTAAAACAAGTCCAGCAAGACCTCCTGATGTGCCGACACCCCGATAGGAGCCGCGCGTATCTCTTCTCAGGCCACGATCGGATGAGCAGTAAGTACGGCAACCGAAGACCCTCGAAGATGGGGTGGCACCGCAAGTGGCTCTAGTTTGGACCAGCAGCATCAACACTTCCTGCTAATGATATAGACCTGGGGTAGGGTCATAGGCCTGGCCTATACGTCCTACCCAAGGTCACTGCCCTAGAAGCAAAGAAGCTCAAGAGACAACAAGGAGTGCTCAATAAAGGCGTCGAGTGCAATCCACTCGACCAATCAACTACTTAGGTACCCCTCCTTCCTGATGTCACACGACCAGACAATCACTTGACCATACAAGAAACCACTCGAGCTAATGAAGATCAGGAGTCACTCAAAACATCAACGGTCAAGCATTCACTCTGTAGTCTTTAAGGTCATTAAAGGCACTTATGGCTGGCGTTATTAGTAACGCCCCATCTTTATGTACATTGAACTCTTGATAACGGGGGATGGCCGGGGTCCTGGCGCACTCTATATAAGCCACCCTCCTCCTCTGGCACAAGGGTTCCCACCCCCAGTAACACACACTCTTATAATCCAGTCGACCGCCTCCGGGCACCGAGACATAGGGCTTTTACCTCCTCCGAGAGGGGCCTGAACTCGTAAACACTTGCGTACAATCTCACCGTAGCTAGGACCTTGCCTCCTCATTTGTACCCCCTATACTTACTGTCAGACTTAGAACCACGACAGTTGGCGCTGACCGTGGGGCAAAGCGTATTAGCGACTTCCGGCGAGGTTGCATTTTCTTCGATCTTCGTCAGCATGGTTTCCGGCGGCAATTTGGTCATGGGCCGCGAGTTCCGACTTGGCGCGCTCACTTTCGTCGCCGATGACTCCGCCTGGCTCCAGGAGGCCCCCCTTGATGTCGAGGCTCTCCCGGTTCGTGGCTCGGCGCACTTCCGCGCGAGTTCCTACGGCGTCCCCCTTCGGCAGCCATCTTCCCCGTACCAGTTAGTAATCACGTCGCCATCTTACTCCGCTGGACGCCGCGGCAAGCTGTCTGGGCGTTCGCGACTCCAGCGGTGGGTGAGACACGTGGTGGCTTGACAGGCCTTCACCCCCCAAGTCGCGGCGATCGAGCCCGACATGTTTTCCTGCGGACCGGTCGACTTGTTGACTGATTGTGCAGATACCTTTTCTGAGAGCGGGAGTTGTGACCCTTTGGCGGAGGTCCTCATGGTCGACTCCCATCACGGTCCGCCTGGTTTTCGTCGCAGCAGCGACGGCGACAGAAGCGGTGGCTCGTCACTCGACCATGAAGAATATCAGCCCCAATCTCTAAGCTCGCAGCAGAGGAAGGAGTTGCATCGCCGCAACATGGAGGCTCTCCAGACCCCCATCGTAGGGGAAACTGCTGAGGCTCGGGCCTTGGAGGCAGTGCTCCTGGCCACTCTGGCTGAGCGCACCCGTCTGGAGAATCTCCAACATTCTCTCGACAAGTGTGCTCGCCGACTGATCCCCGAGTCCAGTCGACGACCGCGGCAATTGTTTCCACCGGAAACTTAGGTATTCCGTACACTGATTTAGAATTTGGCAGCCGATGCGCGTATTGCAGAGTCCATTCAGCCATCCCGTTCGGAGGCTGGAAGAGGCTTGGAACAGATTAGAACGCTGCTCCGAGAAGCAAGAGACCAGAGCTCTGCTGTGTCCCAGTCGCGGAACAGAATCCACAATAGATCAGAGAGAGCAGATATGGTTCAGTCGGCACACAGTCCTAGGTCCCCTTTGCGGCATGGAGGTCATGATCACCGCCAGGATCTGCACCTGGGAAGAGCTCATGGAGAATATGATCATGAGTACGCCCGCGATAACTACCATCGACCTCCTTCGCCCCTTCCAAGGGACGGGTCGTACGCGTCCCAGCGACATGATGATAGGCGTCCGTATGGGAATGACCGCAGAGAGCCCGGCTTCGACACGAGGTCTGTCCTTGTGCAGGGTTTGGTCGACCGGAACAGAGCATACAGAGAAGGGCTGGATCGGGACAGACCCAGTGGAGTCAGAGTCCACATTTCCGGCCCAGAGTTTTTTTGGAAGAGCCATTAGAGCCGCTGAAATTCGTCATAACTTCAGACTGGCAACTGGTGTCAGTAAGTTTACAGGCGAGTCAAAGCCCGATACGTGGCTCGAAGACTACCGAGTGGCTGTGCACATTGGGGGTGACAGCGACGAGGTAGCCATGAAGCACCTTCCTCTGATGCTTGAAGGTTCTGCCAAGGCTTGGCTGAATCAGTTGGCCCCTGGGAACATTTTGAGTTGGGATGAGTTAGCCCGAGTGTTCACCAGAACATTTAAGGGCACTTGCAAAAGACCTGCTGGTCTACCGGAGCTGCAACATTGCTTGCAGAAACCGAATGAAACCCTGAGGGACTGTATCCAGAGATGGATCACTCTGCACCACATAGTGGAGAATGTGTCAGATCACCAAGCAATCTGTGCCTCCAAGGAA